TACCTATATAGTATATTATACTGTTATTTTTATAATTCCGCGTGTTTCACAATCTATAAAAAAAATATAATTAACTATTTTTTTTTACTTAAGGTCTACTTGCTGCCGGATTAACACCAGCTAAATCTTTTGGTGTTCATATTATGAATGGCTGGGCTCTATCTCAGATGTTATTATCGGGTAAATAAGCAAATCTTGTTGTCATTGTGAAATAATAAAAGTGTAAATACTATTTTTATACTGTTTATAGGTGGGGTATGGCCAATTGATGGACAGGCAAAGTTATTGAAATCGGTATCTGAGTTACTTCCTATGCGATTAGCCGGGAACACGATGAACGACATAGCATTGAAAGGTTGGACGTTGGATAATCCATCGGTCATATATGGTACCACAGCGACGTTTGCCCATGCCTTATTATTACTATTAGTTTTACTTGGTCTAAGTAAAGTAAAAAGGGACATGTGGGTTATACATAAGTAAGAGTTTTGGACTCAATCAAATATTATGTATTGTATTAATTGTTATTAAGATATTCTTCGCAATTGGCTGACGATTGAAAATTGTTACTGAGAAATACTATAAGGTCGTAAAATATAATTAATTATTCATGTTTAATTATTTTAAAAACTTATGGTACATATTATATTAATTTGTAAAGATAAGTTTCTATAAAATACATGAGAAGATAATATTTGGTTCGTGTGATTTAATTAGCTGTTCAGATATTAAATCGGTATTTAAATTTTGTTGTTTGTACGTAATTTCATACATGTATATTGTATACATGCCATACATGTTAAGTTTTTTTCCAATAGCATGTAAAGGTTGTTATTGAAAATACTGCTGCCTCAATATCGTTGGCTTTCACGTTTCCATATTATATAAATGAACCAAAATGCCCTGATAGTACATACAAACACTCAAAAGAGAGAATTATTATACATTTTCATACTATTTAAGAACATGTATAGATGTAAGTTCCCCCACGGAAAAAAATACACCCGTACGTAAGTTCCCATACGAAAATTTTTTCAGACTTAGGACTTAGGATTTAGTTGGTCCAAATATATAATATAAACTAATAATTATATAATATGTAGGTATGGTCCACATATTATTTATACTTTCGCAAGCGTTTGTAGTAAGACTTGTATCAGAACTATGACTAGCCCAAATACTAGGGAGGAAACGATATAAATAATAAAATATCAGATTATAACTAAAAAATAATTACATTTACACAGTGACTATGTGAAGTATTTGAACTTTCGCAATAAGCCAAATAAAACTCTTTATTAAATAAAAATTTTTTTTATTAATATTATTATAATTATTATAACTATTATTATTTTATTCATATACAAATAATATGTGGTCCATACCTACACAATTATATTATTATTAATTTTTATTATATATTTGGACTAGATTCAACTAAAAAATTGATTGTACTTTTTTTAAGCAACACAAAAACAAACAAATTTTAACCATACCAACTACATTTAAGTTGTCAGTCCTACGTCTGAATCTTTATTCAAGGGCTATGGAAGGAAGTTTGTATTCGGTGTAATTTTTTTTCGTATGGAACTTACGTATGCACACCCGGGTGAGATTTTTACCTACTATATCTCGTGTGGGAACTTACATTCGCCCATATTGTCTTTCTAAATTATAAAATAGTAAAATAATACAACTGTTATACTATAGTCATTGGTAAAATTTCAAAACATGGAATGTTGAAGTTTTAAATATCCATTCAATTGCACCGAGCAAGGGTAATATTCGAAACTATTGTGTATAGTAGTATATATCTGATACAGTGATACTAGTTCAGTATTACATTTAGGTAACTAATATTTTATATGTAGGTAGTAGGTACATACTTGAGTAACTGAGTTTTAGCTGATATCTGTTATGTAACTTATATTTTTGAGAAGTCAAAAAACCAAATTAAAATTTATAAATTATATAAAATCTTATTTCAGATTTTATACAGAACAGAGTCATTAATGTTTTTATGATTATGTTATTTAGTATTGAGTTTTTAAAAAAATGTCCACAAAATGTAACCATAAAGTTAGTTATCATCAACAAAATATATTTTAGTTGTTTGATCATAGTTCAGAAAAGCATAAACATCTGGATCTAGTTATGACGTTATTATTTTATTGATTATAATATGGTATTGTAATTATATCTACTAATATTCTAATCTAGAAAATAATTAAATACATTTAACCAAAATATATTATTTTTTTAGTGATAATTATTTTTAATGTATGTAGCATAATTGAAAGTTTCAAGTACCCACGAATAATATTTTTAAATTACAAAAAAATAACTAAACTTGTTATTCTTCGTTTAAATATCTAATTTTGTTCAAATGTTTGTAACAAATCTGTTCTTCTATAATTCTTATATTTTTTGGCTAAGTATGGATTTAGGTATGGCCTATTTATGAGAAACCTTGTATTAAACTATCAATCCTTAGCTAAAAAATGTAATTTTTTGTTTTGCTAGACGCTTTTAAAAGTACTAAAAATTTTAAATTTAGATATCTCAAAGGTAGTCTCAACTAAATACAATTTGATATTATGAAATTTTAAATTACATAAATGCGATTAAATTCGAACAATAATAAATAATATTACCTACTATAATATATATACCTAATAGTTTTTATTTTTATTTTATGAACCACGGTTTAACGAGGGGGGCATCCATTTCCTCTTATCAGCATCGTTTATTTATAATAATAATTAACAACAAATAATCCAACACTAAGGCGTGTCCTGTAAGCATAATTGAAGGCTCTACCCTTCATAATTCCGACTTCAGCGCACACAGGACAGAACTTATCTACCATACCTATATTATATAAGAGGCCCTTGCTGTGCCACTCGTTCTGCTGTATTTTCTTCCTCTTCTTTGAGGCCAAGTACCATACCAACGAGTTCTTTCACTGCGTTCCATTTTTCCTTTGATACAGTCTTAATACATTTTTTGTGTATTTTATCGTTTCCCGATTGATCACGTTATTAAAAAAAAATGGTTAGTAGAAATGCATCTTTATTTTTTTTTTTAAAAGGACATTTATTTTATTAGTAATCATATTGTAATAGGTAATTACGATCGCGTGTTGAACGAAATTACTGACCATTAAAATTTATCAAACAGCCCCCGTATTGAAACGAGCACTGCTGTATCGTATTTAACTAAAAAGCATAATACCTATATCTACACGACTACCTAAATTAATATTATTTCACTGTAAACAAACTGTAGTGTCTGAATGCCAAATTATATGTATGGAAATTAGATGGGTAGAGTTCCGACCTAAAAACCATCCGGACCTGGTACTGTTTGTAGACTAAACATGATAATATTGATGGCTAACCTTAGTTAATTAATAATAAGTAATTATGATGATATTTTTAGCCACATAACTATAATATAGACAGTCCCTCAAACAACATTTTTTGTGTTCAGAAGCCATCGTTTATAATAAATTCCTTATTAGGCTATGGCTAATACGCGGACTTCGGCGTCACTAAATAAGTAAACACACCATCAAAAAACCAATAACTTTCTGACGACTGCCATTAAGCATTTAAAATAATAATTTAAACTAAAAGTATATACTTAAATTATTGTTGCCGAGGTGGAGTAGAGACTACTTTTATATTCGTCATTATCATTTCTCATCAAGTCTAAAAAGCAGATTGTTGTGTGTTGAAGAGTAGACTGCAACAAAGTAGTTACTAAGTAAGTAGAAGTAATCTTAACATTTCAAATTACTTTTAAGAAGTAAGAATATATCAAAGTGTTTTTTAAAGTAGAAAATAGAAATATTAGCTAGGTAATAAGTATTATGAACCCAAAAATTTCGATTACAAAAATTATTAAAAAAAAAAAAATGTTTAGCAGAAATGCAGATTTATTTGAACATAAAAACTACTATAGTACCTATACAGTCATCGTATTAATTGTATCATAATTAAATAATGTTCTTAAATCTTAATTTTTAAACTTTTTGAATTCTTAATGATTAATAATGCTCACTGCTCAAACAAATAATAAACTCATAAGAAATAAAGTAAAGTTCTTAGGTTTATACATTTCAAACACAACGTATTATAATAAAGTAGAGTTATACAATTGTTTAATTTACTATATACCTATTACTATTTCAATCTCAAATCTCGTATTTTCAATATTTACCAAATAATGTATGTGTACATTTTAATTCAGATTAAGTTATAAAAAGGCTTATCACTTTTATATATTATATTAATTTTGATCCACGTGTGTCTATATTATTTAATTCATTGAAATATTAAATTGTACGACAATGGCAAGAATAGTGAACTATTTCATTTGCGGGTAAAATTTTTTTAGCACAAGACGTGCACAACCCACCTACAAGCTAGCGTTTAATTTAATAGACAAAACGTATTTATATGTTGATGTATATCAATTTAATTTCGACTGTTACTTTCCATCACAAGCTCGTAGATCTCTTCCATACACCGAGAGCCGAGAGGGAATGAATTCAGACTCCTGGTTGACATTTACGGTACGATCCACACATGCAATTTTTTTATCTGCCACCTCCAATCAATAAATTTTAACTATCGATTATAGTGATATAATTAAATATTCTTTTTGCTTTCGGTATGTAAATGCACCAAACTGTTTCATATAGAACAGCACTGGAGTAACCTACCATTTAGTGTTTGATATAATAAATAAAACGTATCGCATTATACGTAAGTGACGTAGGCAGGAATTTTGTATGTTGTGAGGGGGGGGATATAGCTAGATTCTGATGTACGTCCACATAATATTATATGGACAGAAAAAGATTGTTTTCCAACGCTTCGATCGGCATCAAAAATGAAACTCTCAGTGCAATCAGGACAAAAATAAAATTGTTGTATTTAATTGTTTTTAATATTTGTTTGTAGAAACCGTTGTGGAAATTTACAGTGTTCATAATGACGACGACACCCAGGGTGATTGAGTTTACTGCACCGACATCGGAAGACCTGACCATTGTGGACAATAGGCTGTTCAAAGCCATATGTTTACATCAAATACTTGACCCCACCAAAGGTTGTAACCGCTATTACAGCTTGGCGTTCATGGTGGTCATGTGGGTGTCTCTAAGCGTGCAGATCATACAGTTGGTCGGCCTTTACTTCGCAGTCAACGACCTACAGCGGTTCGCGTTCACTACCACGATGATATTCAATGCTTTGCTTTGCCTGTCCAAGGGATACGTATTGGTGACGAAAGCGGACAGGCTGCGCGCCTGCCTGGAAGTGGCCCAGTATGAGTTCACGTCGTGTGGCGCCCGGAACCAGCTCGTTGTGCGCCAGTCTCGGGCCGTGCTGTCCACGGTTCTCCGGACGTTCGCCGTGCTCAGCTGGGTCATGTGTTTCATCTGGGCGTTGACACCGCTGTTCGCGATGGACGAATACCTCCAGGTGACGAATGCCGACGGCACCGTCTCCCGTTACCGAGTTACCATCTTCAACGTGTGGTTACCGGTGCCGACAACCGTGTACAACGATACGACCGTCTGGTCGCTCGTCTACGCGGTCGAGGTGATTGCGTGCTTCGTAAACGTGTTCAGTTGGTTGCTGTTCGACAGCTATGTAGTGACAATGTGTTTCACGTTCAACGCTCAGTTCCGCACTGTGTCGGCCAGTTGTACGACCATCGGCCACTGCGGTGACTCCTTCCGATCGCCATCACCGCACGCCTCCGAGGGTTCGTACCCGGTCAATAGTTATTTATATTGGTAAGCTGTTGAAACCAAGAAAGAGTAATTCCAATTATTTATTATATAATATTTTTTTTTATTTCCAATAATTGGCAAAGTCAATTAATTTAAGCCCAGTCATTATTTATTAGTTTAAAAGTTGTATCTAACTAAATTTATTTTATTTTAATTACATTTTGTAGATTTAGCAAATCTGATAGGTACTAATAATGCAAAGTGAATCTCTCAGGTTTTAAATTTATCCTTATCTTGCTGAACTTAATAAGTAAATACTTTTGAAGTTAATATTCTCTTCTGAATGTACATGTTGGTAGTTGCCCTCAGGCTGAGGGCTGACCAATTTAACAAATCACTGTTACGATGAAGTTTAGAATATTAAAAAATGGTTTTAATTTAATATTCTAAATTGTTTTCGAAACGATTCACAGTAATACGAAGAAAAAAGTTATCGCTAATTAATTAGTTTACTGTGTGAGTTGCTGAAATGAATGTGAAACAGCAATCTAACAGGCCACAGCCTTAAACAAAATAGTCATAAATATTGTTGTATACATTATTTATGATAACTTTACTGTTCTAGGTACAAGTGATGATAATAATATACTGAATTGTTATGATGAACTGATCAACCACATAAAAGATAGTCAAAGTATAATAAAGTGAGTGCATAATAATGTACCACCTATATCATTCAAATTCCTTACGAGTACAATTATAGTTTGATTAAAATGCTGTAATCAAAAAAGATGTACTTAAAATGTAGTGGATCACATATTATTATGTGTGACACCGTTACAACGTGTATGCACCTAATTTAGATATTGCTTTAAAATATATTTTACTACAACAGTAGAGCACGCTATGGTTTTTTTTAATTAACATTTTACAAATGTCTTATTCTTATCATAAGAATCAAGGACTGAGAACTATGACTAATATCTTCTATTTTTTATTTTTCAACATCTATGTATAGCATGTATGATGATTTTTTTGAAATTATTCAACCTGCCATCTTATTCCAAATAATCGGTGGATCGTATTCTGTAATAACATTAATATTTCTCACTTCACTAGTAAGCGTTTTATTTTTTACCATACATATGTTTCATAAACAAATTTTTAAATCTAATTTCCTTTTTTTCTTTTTATCAAGACGTATCTTATGGGTTGGTCAATTATATCCATACCAGTTTTAAAAGTATTTTTTGGTTTTTTAGTCAGTTACTTGTGAACTCTTCTTGTATTGTTATGTATTCAACCACATAGAAACTGAGGTAAGCAAACAAAAAATTAATTATTCAAACTAGATACTAAAATTAATTTTATTTGACAAATATCTGATTGAAATGTTGACAATTTTTATTGACAGAAAGGTAATATGAATTTTGGATTGTATAGTAGTAACTGGACTGTAATGGATTTAAAATTTAAAAAAACCTTGTTGTTTGCTATGAACACGAACTCATCTCACAGACGAGTGATGAAAGTGACACCAAGGTCTATCATAAATCTAGAAATGTTCGCCAATGTAAGCACTTATAAGTTATAAGTTATATTAGCTGATTACTATCATTTTAATAAGTCGCCATTTATAAGTATTTTATACAACACAATATAATATTGTCTTATTATTTATGTTTCTTTTCGCTTAACCTTTATTATAACCACAGATAATTATGAACATTCTATTACAATTTAAAAATTATATTAAATCGTAAACTGACGATTTTCAGGTGATGAACATGTCATACTCGATAGTGTCTGTACTATTAAATTCAAGAGTCCAGAAATGAAATGTACTAATTTATGAATTCAACTTATGATAGAGAGTAAAATATTAGATAATATTAGTTAAATCACATTGTATGTTTAAAATATAAACATTTAATTACTTATTTATTTAGTACTGAAATTGTGAAACTGACGTGTTTTAGGTATTATATTAAGGGTATTGGAGCCAAAAAAACAGGAAAAACTCTCACGCTCATTAGAATATAGATAGTCTGATTTCGTTTATTTTTTTTATTTTAAATAAGAGAACATTTTGCAAATAGGATTAAAACTCGATTTTCAAAATTATATTTACAGAAGCTAAAATATGTATTTAAATGATTTACAATACCTATAAGTTAATTTTCAAACGTATTATTCTATTACTAGAAAGTAAAATGAAAAATTGGACAACGAGGCATGAGTGTTTTTCCTATGATGTAATTTTTGTTGATATAATACACCAAATATATTATAACCCATATCAACCCCTTCCACACTTATAGGTATTTAGTAGTAGATTAGTGGAAAAGTATTAAGCAACTAATATATAAAATACAATTTCCAAATGTTATAATATTATAATTGCAGACAATTAGTAAAACCGGTTCCGACATCCTTAATGATATACATTTAATATCATTTTTGTTTTTTTTAAATAATAAATTGGCTTGACGTACAGTTGTATGATTATAATCATTATCATACTAAATGAAGGTTAGTAATCATATGTTTGAACACGTCTTATTGTAATAAATTAATTGTTGTGTAGTTAGTAGTATCCTATAAATCTAACACATCATGCCTACGCCTTACAGTACCTATAATATTGGCTAAACACTGAAGATGAGTTGCCTATACGCTACTCCTTAAAATTAAGTAAGCGACATATTTTTTAGTATGCATACACTTGGGTTCATGTAATTTATATTAGTTTATATATTTTAGAATATTTATTTTAGAATTTGTGTATTATACTTGGGTAGTCTTAAAATAATGGGTTCTTATATTATTAATAGCTATGTATTTATATGGGTGTGTGGTGTGCCACCTGCTATTTTACGGTTAGACCAAGTATAATAATGACTTTTCTGTATTTATAAATTTTAATTATCATATTATTAAATTATTGTTTTGTATGCTCAATTATTATTATCCCTGTATTAATTTTAGTCTTATATCAAATTTTAAAACTATCCTATCTGACTGTTTTTTAGATTCTGAGTAAGCAATGAATACCTATATTGATATTTTAATGATGTGTTTTTTTTGTTTTGTTCATCTGTCATCCGTCATCACCTTTCTCACATTGTCCTCGAACCGACGCAGTTGGATTGCCTACCAGTGAGGTTGAGTTACACCCAAAAGGAGTTGAAGAATCACAATTAAAATTTAAAAAAGTCGTAATTTTTACTGGCAACGGAAGGCTTGGGAGCAGATAGTTGATACATATTTATGATTGATATATTTTCTCCGAACCGCAAAATATCTAGTGGAGTTCTACGTTTGTCTTTAGCTATTTTTTTTTTAATAATTATGACTAAAAAGTAATAATTTTTTTAGCAAATATCAAAATATGTGAATAAAAAAAAATAGTTTTTTTTAAAAACACATTTCAAAATGTATGATAGTTTTTTAATAGTTAAATAAATATATGGTAAAATAAAATGTTACGATTGAAAGAATTCAGCAGTGAAACAGTCAACTTATTATATCCCCCAAATAGGTATTCGTATTGAATTCATAATTTAAATATTTAGAGTATATTAATTATAAATGTATAATAATGTTTAATATTAAACTAAATACACGTGATCACGTGGGTTGTTGGCACGTTTTGCGAAATGGAGTGTTATAAAAGCAATTAAAAGGTATAAGATGCTTCATTGTTTTTTTGATCATTAAAATTAAGTTTTTTCATTTATATGCTATTACGAAATTGTTTTCTTAATAATACAATCTTATTATTTCACTGCAGTATCTCTGACCGCATTAATTAATAAAATAAAAATTTATAGATTTCAGATGACTGATCAAATCTAACGGTTAAAAATGATATAATAAACTGTAGTGCTTAAAACGGCTTTAAAGAACACAATATTACCTTCTGTATTATACAGGGTGGTTATTTTAACAGTAGTTTTTAAAACATTTTTTAATGCAATTTAATGTCATAACAAAACAAAAATTAAAAAAAAAATATATTTTTCTATGATGTATATCGTTTTATTTTCTTATAGCTTTTTGAATGACAGCGTATAAGTTGTAATTTTATATTCCTGAGATTTTGAATTTATAAAATTCAAATATTTTTAATCGGTAGTTAATTAGTTAAAACTTATAAATATTTACAATTTCGATGATCTTACTTACCTAGTTACCTAATGAAGTGGCGCTGCAAGCTAGAGTATCCAGATAAATGCCCACTGCAGTACTGCACACATCATCATAACATTAAATACTTCTAATTTATCTACTTGTTAAAAATTCGATTGCTATGATAAACCGAAATTCTTCGAAAAATATTTTGTATTAGAATTATATGTTTTATCACTGAAAAAAGAACAGCTTTTAAAAAAATAATAATTGTAAAAATAAGTATTATTTTTTCAAAAGTTTTGTTTTGTAATGACGACTTCAGATTATGTAAGAAAAATATTTTTAAAAACGTTAATATTTTTCGAGAAACTGAGTGCTCGCCTTTAACAATTTGAATAGTAGGTATGTTTATTTATTTATATAAAGAAAAGAAATACAACTTTTTTCTGGTTGTATAATATTTAATGACCTTTAACTAAAACATTCGGTCGTTTTATAAACGTAATAAATTAATTTAACAAATCTGGGGAAGTTTCTCTTGGTATAATAGTAAGGTAAGTTTTGTGTGTACCTTGTCATTAAGTAGGTCATAGTAATGGATGTACTAAAACTCAAATTTAAAGTCAACGATAATTGATAAATCCCAGAGCTTGAAATCAATTTTAAATATCGATCAAATTTGTTAAAAATATTCTAAGAAATTCAAAGTTGTACCGAAATTGAAATTCGGGGGGGGGGAGTTTTTCTCCAATCACCTTTTTGTTCCATATTTATAATAATACCTAATAGTTGTAGTACTCGACGTCGACAGGGGGGGGGGAATTAATACGATATAGACATCCACCTGTGTCGGATAGTACCTATTAAGTAACTTTTTTCTTACTTTAACCACTTGAAAGCAGAAACAAACGAATATGTAGATATGATTTATATAAACATAATTTTCATCTCTTTAATGCACCAACTAGATTCATATTTCCATCTGAAAAGATGTTGATGTAAAAAATCGGATAATTTTCACTACCACAAAAGTTGATGACAGACAGAAAAAAAAAACACACACATCATTGTAAAACCTGCAATACATTCATCGCTATCTCAGAATCTAATATAATATTAATAATAATAATTTTTATTTATCTCTATAGGTATTATATAAAAAAATATTCTTCTAAGGTACCCATAATACTAATTGTATTATTAGGTAAAAAATAAACGTTTCATAAAAAATATTTTAATTGCCCCCGAACTAAGTCAAAATCCAACTTAAAGCAAAGGCTTTTAGTAGCTAATAGCCACTAATGGTAAGCACTGGTAAGGTACACGACACCAAAAAGTGCAACAATATTTTACACTTTTATCCTTTGACTAAAATTTACCCAAATTATTTTTGAAAAATAAAAGTATGTATGTTTAATACTATAGTCTCTAATATAAATGGTCATGTACTCACGTTTAAAGTAACTCAACTTAAATATTTTAAAATATCATTTATTACACAGGTTGGTCTTATTTTTAATTTTTAAAGAATGTTCTGTCGGGGTGCCGCCACTGGGTGACTTCCCCCTCCTGTTTACCAAAAATCATCCCATTTACTTATTGTATCACTTGTAAATACAGATTGTAAATATATTATGTTTGTTCAATAAAAAAAAAAAAAAAAAAAAAGAATGTTCTCGAAAATGTCTAAATCAGACAAACAAATAAACGAGAAAAATTATTTTAATAAAAATAAAAATTCATACATAATGTATAGAAAAGAAAAAATTAAAGCACAGTACGTAGGTTCTCATTATTATAAATTCCGTATTTGAATTGCTTTTCATATTGGCTGCATATTGAACGTTCAGACTAATAATAAATAAACATAACCTTTATTTTTATCATTATTACTAATTAACACAAAATTATTAGTTTGCATAAATTGCGACGTATAAGAATACATACATTACTTTAGAATGTCTTTCTATTCATTGAATTAATCATAAGCGATTATGTTTATTTAATTAATAATATATATTATATTTTTAAATATCCTCGTTTGGTCCAAGATTTCTTTCCAGGTGTGAGTTAGGAATGTTATTATTTCGTTATTATGGAAACATCTTATTGAGATAATGTTTTCCATAGATATAATATAGTACATACCCATATAATGTATATATATTTCACAATAGTTAACACATAATAGTATTTGATCTTTAATTACAATAAAGTAGCCATGAATCTGTCTATTGCGTTCTTTTCTTTAAGACTTAGTTTTAATGATTTTTGTTCTTTCTTCAGAAAATTAATTGGTTTTTGTCAATCATAAAGAGACGTTCTTTTGATTTCATTAAACTTGGTATTTTTATTACGTCACACTACAATTGTAGCCTATTAGCAATATATGGGTTTGTATAATAATTATTTTTTAGCATCATTATATTTTGTGCCTTTCTTTTATCCATTTTTAAACGTTTTACGTTTTAACCGCTTTTTTGTTATAGCAATTAGCAATCCGTGTCTTGCAGATACATGAGTTTCATATTAGTTATCCAATGCAAAATAATGCAATGGAATACATTATATAATATTGCAATACTTTTAATGTTAGTACTGCTTGGTGTTAGCCGTTAGGGCTGCAGTAGTTTACTATTTTTTTTGTTAAATTAAATTATTAATTAATTTAATTTGTAAATATTGAAGGCAAATGGCTAACTTA